GATCAAAGACCAAAGCAGAGGAAGTCTTTGAGCTGCTGGACACCCGATTGTCTCAAACTTTTGTGTTTTTGCTGACACTCATATGAGACTTTATAGTCCACGATTACGTCCCAGAATGTGAGTCATGCCTCTTGTTTATAGGTGAGAACTTTTTTAAACACCCTACTTCTTCATAAACTCGCACCTTAAACTTTGCAGTCTTTAGTGCAACGTGACGTGTCAGCTGTCATCTTGCTCTTACAAATACTTAGAAACCAGACAGCAGGACGTCCTGGTATTTCTGACTGACATCCTACGTATCGGGACATGCAAAATCTTTATCTGGCGTACTGTTCAGTATGTTTGAAAGCTTCCACCAACTTGCCATAGCTTCTCACGTAACTACAGATCCTGTGACGCCATTTTCCTCCAATTCAAGATATCAGGAATTGCTTCCCGACTAGACAGGATTCCAATTTAAGATATTTCTAACACCACTCTGACCAGTTCTAAACTTCATTTAAGACTCTCAAAGAACAATGTAGACATCTTGAATCGAAGGGAATTAAAGATCTCTTGAACTACAATTACAACTCGTCAGAGTTCAACTGTAGGTGTTGTGTGTAGGTGACTAGTCATGGTTCAGCTGCAGACATGTAGAAGATACCAGCAGCGGAATTGTGGATATCTGCAATGAGAAACCCCAGAAATAATGAACATGGCGCCATTCGTTGTGGTAGAATATCACTGACGACATCTGAAATGTTCTTTCCAACAGAAATTATTTCTAGCTATTAAATGTTAACCTGGTTTTTGTCACTTTGGACAATTTTTGCATAATTGTTAAGAAGTTTTGAGTAACTTTAAACATTTTTTAAAATTAATTTTAGACACATTTTGAGTTATTTTGGACATTTTTTTATAAAAATCTATGAAAATTTGTAAGGGATTTTTGGCCAGTTGAACATTTTAGGTTATTTGCAAAATTGCTGCCCAACTTCTTCGTTCTTCGTCAGTGTAGATACTGTCACGTTTGCTCATTTTTTTCTGTCCTGTTTGGACAAAGAACAAACTAACCACCGTTTTGGAGGCAGAGTTATGATTTTCACAGGTAGCTATGTTGATAAAAAAAGCAAGAAAATGGCCAGAAAATGGGAGAAGGTTTGGATGTAGTTGCCACCATGCACCTCGCTGTAAGCCTGCTTGGAGAAATAATGTTGGTAAATCATAAACTGGCAGATTTTCTGATTTTTTTCATTCCTAACCCGCTGCTATACGTACCAAACATAAATCGAGTTGCATGGACATTATGTGAAAATGACAATTCACGCACTGAGATAAAAGAAATGCAGCGAATGTTTGAGCCACAATTAGTCAACTCTAAATTTAAACTGACCAACGACAGAAGTTTGTTTAATTCAGTTGCAAAAAAACACAAAAAACAGAAACTCTATTGGACATATGAACAAATCACAGCTGTATCCTGAAGTCAGTCATCTTTATCTTAAGGCCACAGCTCCTCCGTACATGAACATACTGTACACACACACACACACACACACACACACACACACACAGTCAATATACAGTATATATGCCATATTTACAGAATCCGCTCACCCAGTTTTTAGGGTTTACATAAAGGAACAAGTAGCCTGGGTTGTATAAACTGTGTATTTGGGATGCTTGTGTTTTACAGTATATACACAAACCTCGTGTGTTTAAAAATGGAAAATACATGTCATTTTTTTTAAGCTCCTAAAGATCCCCTCGCAGCTTTTCTGCCTCCTCACATCACCGACGCCTCCTCCTGAAGCATGCCGGGAACCGCACCGTCGACTCGGCCTCCAGAAGGTAAACACTCCCTCCCTGCTCGCACCTTATTATTTAAGTGGCGAAGGTGTTTGAACGCGGTTGGCACGAGGAGCTCTTGATGCTTATCTGAGCTGTAAAATCCGCTCCGGCTCTCCGGTTTCTTGCCTTTTCCGCGGCAACATATCTGCCGCTCTGCACCTTCATGCCTCTAAACAAACCGCACATGTAATCGCTAATTCCCTCAGCTGCAGGAAATAGAGAGCGTGCAGCTGCAGCGCCACATCTGGAGCCGTCATGAGACACGGCAAATGTTTCTGAGGTATCTGCGAATGATTACTATATGAGTGTACATTGATTAAGGAATGTAAAAATATAATTCTAAGACAAAGGACAGTCTCTCCAAAGCAGTCGGAGAGGAAACTTGAGAAGCCAGCTCAGTGTTTCTGCACCACAGATGATGGAGTAGAGTCGCCTGCAGGATAACTGAGCGAAGCTAAAGCTGGAATCAATGACTTTATAACTACAGCAAAGATAATAAAGCATCTAATGTTGCATTCTGAAGTTGCTTTACACTGTTCTTGGGAGAGTCTGTGGGGGGTTTCCACAGACTGGAGCACATTAGCTCTGAAAAAGTCCTCTTTGGGAAGATGAAATGTGTTTTTTAAAATATTTTTGAGACCAGTTGTAATAGTTCTCCTTAAGCCAGTTTAAAGTTGTGCTAACAGGTGTTGGCACTGCTTCGTTTTCCACAGGTGTACCAGTAGCTGAGGCCATCCTATGTAACATCAACTAAATCTGAAAAAAGTTCACACTTCACCTTTTCAGAATCAGCTGATTTTTTTAAGTACAACAACTTTAGTTTATTTAATGACGCCGTGCTAAAATTTACCGTCAAACTATGAATATTTTTTGAGTTCCAGGNGTCCACAACCAGGTTTTCCAGTTCTTGAGGTGTTCCCAGGCCAGATGAGATATGTACATTGAAAACCTCCAAAGGAAGCATCCATCACAAAATCGGGCCATTGGATGAGAACGTTTGAATAGCGTTGAAGTCAGCAGTGAGCTTGAGGTGTGGTGGTGCAGTGGGTTAGATTGATGACCGTCACCCTTCAAGGTCGGGGTTTGAATCGTTTTTTTTTTTTCCAGATTTCTGCCTACGTCTGCTTTAATTTAAGGAATTACTAAGATGAACAATGGACAAAACTAACTAGGACTGCCTGGAAAACCTCCAAAAGAAGGCATCCAGGAAGTAGGGGATGTCAACTTATCTAAACACCATTTCTACTAGCACATAAATGTTCCATCGTAGCATAAAAATGATCAATCAGAACAACTTTGTGTTGAATTACAGAGAGCATCAGGCCTTTTCATGCATTTTCCTTTAATTTGTCACCCGTCCGTACGTTCTTTAACATCCAGAAGCATCTTAAACTACCATGTACGATACGTTTAGGTGCTCTGCTAGCTGGTAGCTTTTGATTTTTACAGTCAAAGTTACATTTCTTTTTTAACAAAACCCAAAAATGATGAGCAGTACATAACATAGGTTGAGGATCAGGGAGAGCTGATCTGTTTTCTTGGGTCGCACAAGGCTGATGTTATTCTATGATATTGTTATTATTATACAGAGTGGATTTTACATAAATCATGAGACGGTGTGTTATTTGATCACTCGTGTCGTAACTTTGCCTCGAGTTGTGCGTTATTGTCACAAAACCAAATATTTATTCAGAGCAAATAGACTTAAATATAGCAGCAAACCTTTGTTCTTGTACATTGTTTTTGTATATAGCTCAGTACAACTATGCCGATGCCTCTTTGAGATAGAAGTGCCTTTTCAGTGGGTGGAGTTCTGCTTTTTTTTTTTTTTTTTTAAAACAACAGTTTGATTTGATTCTGTCGCCTGAACTGAGCTCAAGTCAGCTGAGAATATTTTTTTATGGTACAAAATAGTAAACAAAGAGTGAACATAGTGCATATTCTTTTGATAAGTATGATTGCAAGTGGAATTTATTGCTGAAATGTATTTCACCGTTTTGATATTCCAGAGACATTTATTTTGTGTCGATACCTAAAGGCAGATTGTTTAACTTTATATATTTTGTACTGACACGTTTTTTTTTTTTTTTTCAAGTTTCCTCATCTTGTGCCGATGCAGATTTTCACGAGTCACTGTCGGGGCTTTTTTCTGCATTTTGAGACTCAAACTTTTGGAGTGCAAGTATGGAAAAGTACATTTATACACATATATCAGCAGTTTATAAGAGCGGCGCTGCTCCATCTTATCTTGTAAATGTTACGCTGTAGGTGAAAAAAAAAGAAAGAAAAAGAAACGCTTGTACAATAAGCTTCATAAAATATATTTGTATATGGAAAAGACCTTTAACATGCATCTATTTATTTTCTGTATGTTGCATATCTTGTAGAGGTGTGGTCTGGGACAAAAAGGGGGACGGACGCTTGGAAATGTCAATGGTCTTTATATCTGTGATGGACATTTGTCACTGTGTGGGTTAAAGGTCTCCCTCCTCTGAGCTCGGACCCTCCTTCCAAAGCATTCAAAGAAATGAATAAAAGTATGCAAGACTCATTCTTTGTGAATGATTTACTGCTCTTTTAAAGATGTTTTGGTAAATTACAGATAACAGGGATCTCCAACTCAAGTCCTCATGAGCTACTGTCCTGCAGGTTTTAGACGTTTCCGTCCTGCAACACGCCTGACTCAAATTAATGAATCTCCAACAGCTTGTTGTCAAGTTCTACACAAGTCTTTTAATGATCCATTTGAGTCAGGAGACCCCTGATGTAGTAAAACCACACAAAAAAAAACCCCAAAACAAGTTGCATGTAGTTCCTAAAAAAAATAAATCTGTATTTTTGTAAATGTTAATTCCTTCTTTTACAACATCTGACTGTAAATTGCACCATTTAAAAAAAATAAACTGTTAATTCAGTAAAACATATCAATATTTTACAGATATGTGTTCACTTAAAGAAGAAAAATGATGAATATCAAGGATTAAAAAATGATGAATAATTTTTAAACTGTCATTTTACAGATGTAATGTTAAATTACAGATATCTAATGAAATAACAGATTATTTGCATGTTGTTCCTAAAAAACAAGCCAAACCTGTAAATACTGTTCACATTTTTAAAGAAGTATTTTTGCAGATATTAATCTGTACTTTTATACAGTTTGGCCACAAAATTGGACTTTTTTTTTTTATTTTTATTTTTTTTACAGTAATTAATTCAGAAAAAAAAATGTATTTCCTTCTTCTTGTTATTATTCTTTTCAACAATTGAAAAAATTAGTAAATATTTTTTTNGATGGATGGACGGAGGTGCATTCTGGGTAAACTTTCAAGGCTCATATTAGCATGTAGTGTGATGGTGGTTGGTCAGAACAAGTTCTAGACAATGAAAGGATCATTTTTCCACACATCTGATACCAGGATCATCTTCTAGACATGAGTCACTCTGTAGGATGTAATACAGACGTACTTAACCCTCTATTGCTCCATATCACAGATATTAACTGCTGCAGCTCTGCGACTGAAACTATAATATAAGCTATTGTTTTGATGCTGAAAAACAGAGATTTAGATTGTGATGCCTCGAGTGTTGTGATTTGGTTGCATTTTTTAACAAAACTCAAATGTGTTTTTCAGCCCTGAAAGCTTCATGTGTATCTGCTGGTCGAAAAAGCGAGAAATTTCACTCTACTCATATCTACTTCAAGGGTCTGTAATTCTGAAGATATTCATAGTATGAAGGTAAAACTGTGCGTGGCTTCAATAAACATATTGAAGTTAGTGTAGATAATAAATCAGCTGATTCAGATGATTGATGGAATGAACCTGCAGCAGAATGTGGAGAATCTCTGTAACCTCCTCTGATGGATTTTAGCTTTAATGCTAACGTATGAACCAGGCAGTGACTGCTACACAACCACTGCTCACAGTCTGACTCTGGACGGAGAAAACCGTTCACACTAAGTTCACTAAGTAACGAGCTGCCGTTGTGGAGGACTCGAGGACGTCCAGGCTGCTAGAGGAGATCAGCATCGCCTGAAAACCCATTTTGCTCATCACTTTTGTCATTAACGGTGAGAAACGAAGGGAAAACAGTGAAAAGATGGAGCAGACGTTCTCAGAAGTCCATGTCCCACCCGGACAGCTCATCAGGAGGACTCTCCTCATCTGGAGGGTAGCTGTCGAAGTAGCTGTTGTCCGTCGGTCCGGTGAGCTGCGGAGCGAGAAAAGACTCAGAATCTAGAATCCAAACAGACAGTCTTAAAGGTCAGTGCTGTTGGATTTCTGTGGTTTTTTGTGAGCGCTGGGTCTGTTTTCAGGTGATTAAGCACAAAGGTTTGAAGGAAAAACAACACGATTGAGTGCAGAGGAGGCAACTTTTCTGTCTCCCAAGTGTGTTTTTGTAGTTGCATTTCTATAAATTTGCATATATTTTAAGACTTTCTCCCTAAAATGACACTGCTGCACCACTAACATGCATTCTCATTGGAAAAAAAAAGCAATTTTCTCCAAAAATAAATGCATATTCTCGTATTTTTCTTATGCAAAGCACACGTGTGGCAAATATCTGAGCAGCGACGGCGCGTAGCTCAACATCATTTAATCACAGCAGCTTTAACATTTTAAATTCACACACACAGTTTTTCATTGCAACTTTTGCAGCTAAAATTGCCGTCCTGTGCTTAATGGCCATTATAGATACCAAATAAATACACACATTAAATACACAAATGTTCCTGTACAATTACTTGTATTTTAAAAATTACAAAGTGTATTTTTAGTGTTAAAATTGTTATTTTACTTTAATTCCTCTATATTTAGTACTCAGCAGTAGAACAGGAGGTTTACTGTTTATTTAACTAGCTTTCCAATAATATATTTTATTGACATAATGCTGGCACTGTAATCAACATCAACTGTAGTTGACTATAAATTACATTTTCTTCTTTTAAAATGTAGAAACTGCAGATATCAGAAAAATACCCTCAATAACAAATCGATTTTTATCAGTTATGATCCAGAATGAAGCTCTACCAACTCTATTTGACATTTAAAAACACATATGCTCCACTAAAACGCCGAAATTAATAACGAATGAAGGATGAGGAAAGTTCCATTTTATGGTTTGGGAACAAAATAATTCAAAGGCAGCAATGTTTGACAAGTTTGACTCTATTAAATATATTTTAGAAACCAAGAAAAAAATTAGAGATCAGCTTTTAGATTTGTTTTTTTTCCCCCACATCATGAGGCGATTTTACAAAAAAAAATAAACAACAGCTACAGAACAGTTTAATATCTGACGTGTCAGTTGTAAAAATACAGATTTTTTAAAATGTGATTTCAAAATAAATATTAGATTCCTACGAATTATATTAAATGTTTGATGTGGATGAAGGACTTTACATCAGAGTAAAGGTAGTAACAATATTCTTAGTCCCTACTCTAAACAGTGCTTTGGTTAGTTTACCATCAGTTTATTCTTGTTTTTTGGTCCACAAACACACGACAGATTTCACAGTGTTCACCTGTGTTTTGCAGAAACAGTCCACTGCTGTCAGAGTTTGGCTGTTTTTCACTTACTTCTCGTTTCAGCGGAGACGGTAAACTCCTCGCCTTCAGTCCCTCCCAGTTGAAGCCATTGAACCACCTTCAGACACAGCAGAGAAACTCATAATAAACAGTGAGTAAATCTGTTTATCAGTGTTTTTTCTCTTTTATGAGTTTGATTCTGCAGAAACATCAGTGTTTTTTTTTGTTTCCTAACCAGCTCTTAGTGCCACTTATTCTTTTATTCTCTCTCTACGGACTTGAATTTTAGTTCTTATTTCTGGGGTTGAAAGAAGCTCTAGTATGAAATCTCTGCACCACATATGAAAATATCATCTATTAACCCCGTCCAGCTGTGATTTATGACTCTGCTCGCTGTAGCTTCCTGCATCTCTCTGTTATCTCTACAAAAGAAGATAGTCCCAAATTTAACCGAGTCAAATAATGCAATAAGGCTTGAACATGCTGTGCATCCTCGTGTATGCTGTGTTCTGTGATTATCTAATTGCAGAGATCGTAAACTCCGACTCTCATCCATAACGTCCAACCGGGGCTCATTTGCACAGTTAGTCTTCCCGTCGTGATAAGCAGCAGAATGATCCTCAGCTCCTACCTGTGCTTCTTGATGTCGATTATTCCGTTTTTGAGGTTGCCGAGTCGCTCCGACGGATTTCGCCTGTGAAGGAGATCGGAGAGGGAGGTTATGGTTTTGGTCCAAAGAAGACAATAATTTTCTCTCTTTAAATACTGGACCACATTTGGTTTTCTCTCCGAAGTCCAGATATGGTTGTTTTTTCGTGATTTTCTGAGTGAAACCTTATTTGAGCTGTTTGTTGGATTAGCAAAACAAAAACACCCACAATGTCTTTAAGCAAGAGAACCAAGAAAGGCCAAAGGACACGCCGGTGTTCACGACCTCCTGGTTGTCATGGTGGATAATTCTTTGCCGTTGTGGAGTTTCTGAGTGCTTACAAAGGTCGGATCCTCGACAGATTGCTGGCAGACAGAGATAAACGTAGACTCAACTTTCCAAAATGCTAAACTGGCGAACTCTGGATAAATAAAGTAGCCGTAGTGGAAGTAAAGTTAGAAGTTCTGGTATGGAGGGGCAGTACATCAACAGAATGGAACAACAGAGTGAGAATATGTCCTAACATTTAAAACAATAGACTTTGGTGATCATATTTAAAGACTCTTTAAGAAGGTTAGATATCTGAAAAAGTTAAAGGTGAAGTCCTCAAATGTCTTGTTCTGGACAAAACCCAAGATATCCCATTCACTACCATAGAAGTTTACTCAAACCAGTTAGTCAAATCTTAAACGAGTAAACAACTAGTCATTAAATCAATACATTTTCACAGCTCTACATGTCACAAGATAGAGGCTTTCAACAACACAAATTTTCACCCATTAGAGAAGGAACAGGTTTACGTAGGTGCAGTTATTGTTCCTATTCTTTTGGGTCCTTCCTTAAACCCTTAACATTCCTCATTTTTCACAAATTAAGGCGAAAGCTTGAAGCATTTTGCTGGTTGGATTATTACAATTAAAGCAGCACATAGCAGGCTGGTTTCATGAACCATTTTTGCATTTGGCATTTATTGGAACATCATATAGTTACAACAAATGACTAACCCCCTACGACCTTCACCCTAAACCAGGGCTCTCTAACTCGCGGCCTTTGTGGCCCCCGACTTGACATCAAAGTTTAGTATTAGTGCAGCCCGGGCATTTTTCTCACATGCTCCTTCGCAAGTTGTTGCCCTGGGCATTTTGTATTTTTTGTGGGCTACCATAGCTCAGGCTCATGACAGCAACGCAAATTAGCAACATTAGTCACTTGAAACATGATGTGGGAGTGTCACCGAGTGGAGGGAAACTATATCCTGTCACCCAGTGCAAATGCATGTTTTTCTTTTCGTTTGTTTTTTTCTATCTGTGTGAAAAGCTCTCCTCCACCATGAACTTTAATAAGTCAAAGTACAGGTCCAAACTTACTGATGAGCACCTTCAAGCCATACTGAGGGTTACAATTGCCTCCTCCCTCAAGCCAAATGTGGCTCAGCTGTGTAAGAGGAAGCCAGATCTCTGGCAGCAAGGAGTAGGTAAGAGAAGCCCATGTTCTGAAGAACCTCATGTTCAGAATTGTTATTAATAAAGATTGAGAAGACTGAATCAGTTGTACTTTTTTTGGAATACTTGAAACCCTTTTTTTTAAAATACTTGATGCGGCCCAGCCTCACTCAGACTCTATCTCCAGCGGCCCCAGGTAAATTGAGTTTGAGAGCCCTGCCCTAAACTCCACCGTCTCTTATGTCAACGTCATGAAATTACGTGAAAAGCTTCAAAAGTTGTATTTAAAGACGCTGGGTTCTGCCAATCAATTAAAGTTCATATTTTTTTGATTGGATGACATCTCGGGTATCTTGACTGTTGGGTTTTCTCTACGAAGATTTGTCTTCGCATAATGAGTCCAACCATCAAGCGTCATCAGATTCTGTTCTAAGAAAGTGAAAGATTTATCGCAGCCCTCCCTGTGCTATGTTGTACCTGCACAGTTTCCGTATGAGGTCCTCGGGTCTCTTGGTGATCTTCTTGGGAAAGTCCATCTTCTCGATGCCTTTCAAGATGAACGTGTACGTCATCATCTGGTCACTTCCTGAGAACGGAGGACTGTGGGGCGAAGGAGACGTTTCATTTCTTGTAAACCGTAATTACTGATAACCAGCAGGAAGATGGACGTGATAAGAAAGAAGGATGATAATGAGGAACGATCGGAATCGCAGATGCACTAACCTGCCGGTAAGAAGCTCAAACACCAGGATGCCCAGAGACCAGAAGTCCACGCTGAAGTTGTGGCCTTTGTTCAGGATGATTTCTGGAGCCACGTACTCCGGAGTACCGCAGAACGTCCAAGTCTTCTGACCACATCGGATCTTCTTGGCAAAACCAAAGTCAACCTGTGGAGGCACAGTTTAGCAGTGAACTCAGACACTACTAAGACAATTTTGGAACCTTTTAGAGCTTTTTCCAGAAAATTACCAAATTAAATGTATATGTGTGCTGCTCCTGTCACATTTTCACTCACTGTAGGTACATTGTTCACTGCAATATAAAGCCATGCATCTCTATGGAAACAGAACAACCATGACTAGAGGTAAAGAAACTCAAAAGGGTTTTCTGTGCAGTATAAGAGTTATAGTTTCATGAATCATAAGAAAAGAAAAAACAAGAGTTGAATTTTCATTGATTACTGCAAAACAAAACAAAAACAAAGGTGGCTCCATGTACTGCTGACATTTTATTGCTTACATTAATACAACCTCTACAAATGCTAGATGCTGGATGTATCTTCCAGCCACTTACTGACAGCTTCCTCCTCTGTATGCTGTATTTGAGCCATGCTGCAACTATTTTATTGTATAAATATGTTTTGCTTTGCTCTGTATCTAATTTGCTTAGTCAGTAATGGCTTTGTGTTTGCCCCAAGAAGTCAGATTTATAAAGTAGTACGAATTGGTTTTGATGACATATTACAAATTTGATCCTAGATTTGGTTACTTTTAGCATACAAACGCTACGTGTGGTTTGTTTAAGGAAAATTAGAATCTTTAAATACGATCATTCTTTCTGTTGGTACAGTTTCTGGCTCTGACAAACAGTGTAATTTTTGCCATTTTTAAAAAAATAACATGCCTTTCAAACTCCCCAGTAGGTTCTGGAGTTTATAGGGTTTCAAGAGCCTGTATTTGTAATGTAAGTACCACTGAGCTGCTTTTTGGCATTTGTTAGATTTCAAACAACAATGAGAAGCCAGTTTATCTCCATAAATGTAGAATGATAACTACTATATTCAGAGTTAGGTTAAAAAAGACCAGGAAGAAAACTTTGTGACCCAGATGCTACAGACTTTATTTCTAATTAGACTCAACTCTGTAAACCCACTAGAGACACACTCATCGTCACATATGATGAAACTATTTACAGTGAGGATCGAACAGTGAAGACAGAAGGTGCCGCCTCACCAGTTTGATGTATCCCTCAGCATCCAGCATGAGATTCTCAGGCTTCAGGTCTCGGTAGAGGACACCTTTGCGATGCAGGTAATCGAAAGCCTCCGTGACGCAACCGACGCAGAATTTGGCAGTGGGCTCATCAAAGCTCCCCCTGAAGACGAGAAGGAGTTAGATCCTGCTCTGCTCAGGAGGTGTGAAATGGTTTCATTACACAAAAACACCTGAACCCATTAATAAACATCCCCTACTGAGTCCTTTATGAAGGCTGGGACTGGGATTCATCATTGCAAGTCTGTCTAAGTCTCTAAATTACAGCAGTAATGCCATTACCTGCTCCAGAAAGCCAGCAAAAAATGGCAAGGCTGGTAAAATGCCATTATTCTACAGACTGGATGGGAAATGTAGTGATTTTCCTGTAGCACAGTGACAGCATCTTACCTGTCTCTGAGCAGACTCCAGATCTCTCCACCCAGACAGGCCTCCAGCAGCATGTACACGTATTTATTGTCCTTGAACGTACGATAAAGTCTGAAGAAAGAGAAGCACAGAGTAGTTAAGCTTAAAGCCAAATGACAGGATAATAGAATCAGAATCATTTGTTCATGTTCATACAATACTTTTGATTGTTTTTTAAGCTTCAATTAAACCTGACACTGAATGTGAGAATGGAAAGCAAATTGCATGTGTTAATCTTTTTTTTTTTTTACTGCCACAGTGTGAACAGATTCTAACGTAACCTAAAAAATAACTTTCTTGAACGCCTACAGCAGCCTGTGATTTCAATGTAATGGATTCAGGACAAATTTTCCAGAAAAAGTCCAATTAATGTGATGTTTATGTGCCTAAAAGCCTCTTTTCTGCTCCCTGACAGCGCTCCCAGTGTGCAGCCACTGACTTTATATAAACAGCGAACATCACCGATGGGTTTGTGGACGACTGGTTTAAAACCTCAAGTTTGGAATTTGCCTGTGTTGTCTTGGTTTTTTGCACCCAGACTTAAGAACAAGAAGTGGATCTGATTGAGAACTTGAGGCCTGCCCTACAACATATCCTGTTTTATCGTCTAGTCTAGCCTAAATGAGACCATAATTTTGAAAACAGGCATCATGCTGCATTGAAGGAGACTTGAAATTAGAGATTGAGACCATGAACTAATTAGGAAATTGTTTACTGAAGTAACAGATCAAATGAGAAGGAGGCAGATTTTCTCATTTACTTATAAGCGATCAAGTCGCCCCCTGCTGGCTGTTAGAAATACTGCAAGTTAAAACCACTTCTGCATTGGCTTTACTTCTCAGACCCATTAGCTCCATCCATCTTTAATATACAGTCTATGTGTGCAACTCCGGCTAATGCTAGCTTAAAAATGGAGACTGCTAACGCTAACGAACAACCAGCACAAACACTGGGGACTCAAATATAATCTAGTTTCCAGTCAAACCACATTAACCGTCTAGCATGAGGTAAACGTCACTGTTTTGGCTAATGCTCAGTATGCTAGCTCATGGCTAACAGCAACAGCCTGCAGTTCACTTAATGGCCACCAGGGTTACTAATAATGACGGTTTCTGTCTTGTGTCTTTCTGTTTGATTTAATTAATACTATAAATTTAATAATCATTCGCCTAAATACTTCACATTAGCTTTCATTTGGTGAAATACAACATGACTCAGCGTTGATTTGTCAGTAAGCTAAAGAAGTTCAACTTTAAAATGTACAAAGCAGCAGAGATGACAGAACCAATGAGTCAAAGCATCTCATCCAATAAGTAATGAATACAGCCACAGATGTTGTTCATTAATACAGTCTACTGCATTTAAAGGCATTACTGCACAAATAAAACCCTCATTCGTTAGGTTCTGTGCTGATATTTTCAGAGCTAATTGTAAATGGCAGCACCAGGATCACGTATGGATTCGAGATCACGAAACCCGAGGCAGGATGTCAGTAACTCCACCACACCGTCACCCTACGTGGTCCTGAATCATAGATCACCTCTAAACAGTCTTGAAAACAGATTAGAAATGAAATAAGTACACAGAGTGCATGAAGAGGAGGTTAGCAGGACTAGCGTTTCAGAAAGGTGAAAAATGGCTTTAATATGTGAGTCTGTTCCGCTGCACACTGTGAAATTAGATCATCGTAATCTCACAGAAGGCAAAGAAAAGCTCCTATTGCCATATTTCATGAGGAATAACCACATTTCTATAGCAGACATCTCAATATCCCCTGCCATTGTGCCCCGCTGAGAAGATGTAATCTGCTCAAGGCCTCGACTGTGATCTCATCAAAAACTAATAAGCGCCGCACTGTTTTCCCAGACTAATGGAGCCGGCATTCATCATGTTGGATCAGAAATGGAAATAGGTTTTGGGAGGACTGACTTGACGACGAACGGCGAGCGCGCCTCAGCGAGGATCTTCCTCTCTGAGTGGATGTGCTCCTCCTGCCTGTTGTCCACCACGTGCTTCTTCTTGATGACCTTCAGCGCGAAGGTGATGTCCTCACCCTTCACCTTCACCTGCACCCAGACATAACAGGGAGATGTCACTACAAGGGCAAGAAACACTTTTCATTTTCAATTTCCGGCCTATAAAATGCCAGAAAAAGGTCATAAATGTCAATTAGTGTTTCCAAAAGCCCAAGATGACATCTTCAGCTGTCTTGTTTTGGACTCAACCCAAAGATGTTCAGTTTACTGTTATAGAGGAGGAAAGAAACCAGAACATTTACACATCGAAGAAGCTGAAATCAGATCATTTGGACTTTTTTTCTCAAAAACATACCACTTAATTAGACAACTAATCATTTATCAGTTAATTATTGCAGCTCTGGATGTCTAGAAGATTGAAAGCTTTTTAGCAATATACTTTTTTACTTCTCATAGCAGGAAAGGCTCCCACATGAGGTCCTTGTTTTTCTTGCTATGAAGACCTTTTTCAAAGATACATCAATGCACATTAACCCCTTAACATGACCTCCTTATTAACACCTAAAAGCTTGGAAGCATTTTGTTTTTTAGGCTACAAATTTAGAAAAACATTGGAAACTGGTCGTGAACAATCAATAACACAAGGTGAGTACTGTGAATCCTATTCCATGTGTTGCTGATGCAGCTGTTTTTAACAGCATACTCAACATTTGCCATTAACTCAATTAACTGTACGTGCCTCTGGGTTGTCAGAGCACTGTTTGAGTCGACTACTTTTACATTGGCTCCCTCGGGTAGCCATTAACCGTCACAGGAAGCTTGGTCATGGTGGCCCTTTGCTAGCTAAACCCCAACAATGCTCTTTGCTTGCTGCAGTCCTCCTCTGGTTGCTCCAGTATTAAATACAAAAGAACTGAAGTCTACCATCTTTTTTTTTCCAGTTGGAGTCTCCACCTGGTGGTGCAACCAGGTGCTACAGCTAATCTACAATTCACTCTCTGACATGCATGTCCTTTGTCCTCTGCCTTTTTGGTTAATATATCTTTGATAAGTTAAATTATTAACACAAATGAACTGATGAAACGTTATTTATTAACATCATTATCTGTCAAGATGAAGCTCCCACAGCTTAAGTGATTATCTCCTAATATAACTATTCCTCTTCAATGCTACTTCTTTGTCTTACAGTCCATAATGGGAAACTGTCTGTGGAAACAATGAGAAGAAATTTAGAATTAAATATACATAAGAAATTGTAAATCTTTCCTACCTATAAAGGCTGTGTTACATTTTGATTTAAAATACAGGCAAGACTGGTTCACTGATCTATCTGAGAGACACTAGAGTAGTAGGGTTCTGTTTTATTTATACGTCACATAGCTCTAAACTCCGGTTGTGTTTGTGGTTCTTCATCTCCACATGCAGATCCATCGGTTCAGGCCTCACCAGCTCTACGCGCCCGAACCCGCCGACCCCGAGCGTCGCAATAACATCCAGGTGATCGAAGGGCCTGGATGGAGGAAACGCCGACACCATCTCCTTCAGCTGGATGACATCTGGAGACAGCGGCTGACTCTGGTGACGCGACACCGACCTCCTGCACAGAGATACGGTAGAAAGTAAAGATGTAAAGGATAGAATTCAAAATATGACGAAGATAAATGAGTTATTTTTCTATTTTCACTCTGATTCACAGCTTCAATCACACTCCCAAACCAAATTCCTTTCTCCCTCCCATCACAAATCATTGATAACCCTAAATTTTTACAAAAAAAAAAAAGCTCAAAAAGCTATCTCTTCTCTTCTTTCTGTTTATTTTGGTTCATTGTCCTGAGCATCCACCGCTGCACCTACTTGGCATGTCTCTTCTTGTCATCGCGATCCAGTGTTGCCACGTATCCTTGGAGGTACTTCTGCAGCTCGTTGAAGGTGCCCACCGTCTGATCAAATGTCCTGGAAAAACAGCGACCGCACGTCAATACGCAAACCACTGGAATTTTGGCTGATCTCAACTATTTTACTGAGTCATCCCGCTGAGATAAAGGAGGAGATTTCAGAGGAAAATTCGAGGCAAAGTTGACAGCAAGTAAAAGAAAAAAAGAACAAAAAGCACGCAGCAGTCGTTCATGTTACGTTGGCAGCACATTCCATTTTCAGCTGGCATTCAGACATTTTTCTTCAGCAGGATAATTCAAAGTCTTTGATTGATGCAATGCCTGGTATTCCTTTGATGACATGTAAACCAACACCTGAAATGTCAGACAACTCACTCTCTGTCGATGACGAGGCACTCCACCCCGTTCTCGTCGGCGATGATGTTGGCTGACCTGACATCATCACTGAAACAGAAGTACACATCAAACGCATAAACACATTTCTGAACCCTACAACTGTTTTTATAATGAGTTTGGGGCACAACACGGAATTTTTTTCATTAATTTCCCATCATTCTTTGAAGTATTTGATGTTCCAACACTTGGCATGGATGTCACAAAACAACCAAGTAATTAAGTTGTTGGTGCTTTCTTGTCAGACTTGTCCCACTCTGTGAAGTTGACAGACATGTTCGTTGGCCCGATCATGTTGTCAGACACATCAGATGTTCAGTGGGTGAAATGGCTTCATAGTTTGAAGGTCATAGTAGGACTTAAACCATTTCTGCTGCTACAACAGAGGAGCAGTGCAATTCCTGGAGACGTAAGGATCGTAAAGTAACGGCGGTAAGCGAATGGGATAACTATGTCATCATGATGGCACTCGGCATTAAGATTGCCATTGCTGTAATGCAGATGTGCTCCTAAGAGTGCAGATTTTTTGGTTTATGCAGAATCAGTTTAGTGCAAATGGTTTATTTTTGGTGAATATTCTACATAAAAAGGAAGAATTAAGTAGTTTTGATCAAAAATCCTGATTATGAACTTGGTTGGGTTTTCTGAACTGCATCTCCCAGATAAATCATTTAAAGACTGTTGCAAAGTTTTGCTTTTTTTTTAAAAAAAAATCCAATGATTTTCTTCTGTTTTTACAGTTATACAGTTAACAGCACTGGAAATAAAAAAGATTCCTCTACATACAACTTACATTGTTATGAGAGGCCATACTTCTCTTTGAAAACACAGCCTACAGTTCAGCCCAAAACTCAGAATTTTTTCCAGGTGACTTCTGGTTGCAAGGGAGTCACTAAAACGTGGATTTTATTTGTTTTTCTTTTACAGAATCTGGTGGAAATGATTTCTTTTGGGCAGATATTTGAATGAGACATGAAGAATAAAGCTATTTTGAATATTTCGACATACGCAAATTGTAAGTTTAGATTTGGTTTTAAGACAGAACTGTCTCAGGTGACGAGTTCAGAAACGTCATAAAGTTAACAATCCAATAATTTTATCTGTTTTTACATTTACCCACATATTTAACGACCTATATCTTTATTTTAATTCCATACGCGTCTCCTCACTGCTCTGTGTGAACACAGCCAGCGATTCAGCTGAAAAGTGCCAGAATTGTTCTTATATGACTTTTGGTCACAGCCGAGTCACTCACGGCTTCTCAGCTGTGCAGAGGAGCCCAGAATGTTTTATTTATTGATTTGTTTTTTAAACAAACTCTGATGGAAAATATTTCTTTTTGGCAGATATATAAATGAGGGATCAAGAATAAAATAATTTGGATGAAAAATCTGTATTTTTGAGCTTAGATTTGGATCTTTTGTCCAACAGAACTGTCAGAAAGTTGAAAAATCCGACAATTCTGTCTGTTTTTACAGTTTCTGGCTCTGATAAATGGTGTAATTTTGGTGATTTTTCTTAAAAGACAACATGCCTGTCAGACCTGCAGCTGGGTTTTGGGGTTCAGAGGGTTTATATTAATATTTGTACTTTATATTGACTCGACTTTATTGACATGATTTGGCCATTACTTCTCATCAGCAGGGTGAAATGACAGTCGGTGCTGAGGTGTGGTGTTTTTTACCTTATGAGGGCTTTTTCTCCAAAGTAGTCTCCCTTCTGCAGAGTGTTGATGATCTGCGGCAGCTTGTGGGCCTCGGTGGTCTGGGTCACCTTCACCTGCGCAACAGTTTACCGGATCTTTGAACCGCTTTTCGTGTCTCCAGTTCAGCTTTTACAGGTGCGTTTAATTCCCTCTGAATATTTTCTCACACATTGTAAAAACTTGAAATTCTAAAAAATTAAAATAATTGACATATTCAATTATAGTAATTGGAACACGATGGGCGTACGTGTGATTAAGTGGCTTCATATTTTCTTGCCGCGCTGTCAAAATAGACACATTAATCGTAAAAGGCTTTTAATCAGACGCCTCTGTTTGCTCTGCCGTTCTGCCTACTGCAGCAGCTAAAACTCTCCGGCGTGGGCCCGGGTGTTGGGAAACTTCTCAGTAATTTGTGAGGCTTTAAAAACCAGTGGCCCACCCCGGTCGAGGTCAAACATCCCACTCGTGGCACCGTCCGGCTGCAGAAATGCCACAATGACATCACAGCCATAATGGCCGAAGTGTGTTTTAGCTAAGTGTCCCGTTTGACCTCGGTGACCTTTACTTCCCCCTTGTTTTTCCTGGTGGCAGGCACTCTCAGAGTTTATTCCTACACTGCTCAGGGGGTACAAAGAGGGGACGGGAGGGTGGAGGGGTGGGAAGCCATTTCCTGTATTAGCCCCCCATTCCTCCCAAACAACATGTGTCTCTCTCTGGTTTGGTTAGCTTAGCGCTTAGGAGCTGCTGTCTCGCATCGGCTCGTAATGGCATTTTGAAAGTCCCCTGTGGACGGCCCTGGCCCCTCTCCATCTCCCTTCGCTCGCCGGTGTCAGGTTGCTGAATTATCAGACAGACGGGCGGGTGAGTCATAGCCCCAAACACCCCCGGACTCGAATACAGTTTGGTCAACATATTGTCGGCCAAAATCGGTCCGTTCCTGAAGGAAAATGCATTAATTTTGTTCACATTTCTGTTGGTTATAATAACCTCTGAGCATGACGTGGGATCCTTCGAAGCTTTTCAGCATTGAATCATGGCCAATTTAATTTGGCTTTTTTGACCAAAATCTACCAAAAAAAAAGGCTCTTTGATGTCAAAATTGACTTTAAATGTCAATTCATTAAAAATTTAAAAGGTAAAAATAAGTGACTGCAAAAGCATTCACCCCCTTCAAATCAGTATTTAGTAGATTCATCTTTGGTCACAATGACAGCATTGAGCCTGTGTTGGTCTCAATCAGCCTGAACATCTGGATGCTGCAACTTAACTACATTCCTCTCTGTGAAACTGTTCAAACTCTGTCAGGTTATGAAGGGACCGTGAGTGACCTGCCTACAAATTCTCGGTTCCAATGAGGTCTGGGTTTGGACTCAACCTTTATGTTGTTGTCTTTAAACCATTTCTGTGCAGCTTTGGCTGTTTTCTCCCAGATCTTCTCTGGCAGACTGCATCAGGTTGTCCTCCAGGACTTTTCTATACTTTGCTGCATTCATTTTATAAACAGTCATCCCCACATCATGACGCTGCCACTGCCATGCTTCACATCATGATGCTACCACCACCATGCTCTACATCACGATGCTGCCGCCTTCATGCTTCATAGTAGGAATGGTGTGTTGGTCTACTCTGATGATCGAAACGGTCAATTTTGGTCTCATCAGACCAAGGAATCTTCTTCTTTCTCATGTCTTTGGGCAAACTCTAGTCAAGATTAAATATGAGCTTTTTTCAGCATTTTCGTTCTCTTGTTGTGAGCCAAATTAAACTGGCCATAACTCCATATAATAGGAAAACTTTAAAAGCAAGTGAATACTTTTTTAAAGGCACTGTACAACAATAACCACTAGGATCTACAAGTTTCTGAAGCAACAAATCAGAACTGGTCAAAGCACCTCAGTCACTTCAGTCAGCCAACTCCATGCTTCACTGTCAGGACTATGCATTCACTGTGGGAGCTCTGGGCAGGTTCACACTGAACATGCTGGACTCCATTTGAGCCAAACACATTTTTCTTGGCCTCATCTGAACAAAGAGGATGCTTCCGATATTCATCAGGCTTCTTTTCATACTTTTAGCAAAGTTTCACCTTGCAGAGCAAACAAGGGTTTTTTCTTGAACGCCTTCTACAGATGTCGACGTTATTCACCGTCCTTCTCAATGTCTGAACTGTCACTAACATTCAGATTTTAACTGATAACTCCTGTGCCAAATCTGAAGCCCATTTGTTTTTCAGAGCTAGATTGTGCAATGACAGTGGAGTCGCTTTAGGAGGACGACCGCTGCAGCCCTGATTAGTGGTACTATGGCTCTGTCTATACCTCCTGATTACTGATGCAAACTGTTGTTTTTTTTTTTTACATTTTTCGCTGATTCTTTTGTGTCGTTTTCCATCTTTGTGAAGCGTCACAATCAATTCTTTTTTCATTTCTTCTGGCCATGTTTTCCCGTGTGGAGCCATGATGCAGACATGGATATAGACGCAGGCCATCAGTCCAAAACTGAGACTTTTATGATGTTTGCAGCTCGTTTTATAACCATGTTCATGCAATTAGGCTGAATCACAGGTGGACTATGTGTAGTTTTAATTATCACTGGTTTTCTTACTTGTGTGTTACTGATCACATGCTGCATGGAGTGTCTACATTAGGCCCTCTATCTTAATTGTGTAATAATTGTGTAAACCAAACTAAAGGGCTCAAAGTAAGAATTAAAGCTGCGTCCGGCCAAACTGTGGGATTGTGGCGGTGCCTCTGCAGTCATTCAGCACTCAGGATGAGTGATAAGAAAAGGCTTCACTGCAAACACTGGAGCAGCATCCTGATCAGTCGTCACACAGCATTATCCAACGGTAGCACTGGAGGATTCATTTTCTTGTTGTTGGAGGAGAGGATTAAGTCTTGTGTTTCTGGCATTAATGAGTGTCATTGTTGCACAGTCTGAAGATGTCTCAGGAAATCTCTGCAGTGCCGATTGTGTGCAACACATTTTAATAGTCGATAGAAATAAAAGCAGAAACTACGACTGACAAGTTAGGTTGTCTCACGGCACAATGAGGTTCCCTCTGCCTGCTATTTTTATTCATTAAATTGCTCAACTATCATTTTTTTAACATATAATTCTTCATTTAAAAGCAGTAATATATCTGCTGAATAGATGATGGAGGTCGTGCCCCATTTGAGACCCGCTAACCTGAGAAAATGTAATTTATCTAAGCTTCATCGGGGGACCTTGAACATCCCACAGCATAAAATGTCATAAAAGCACCAAATTTAGTTTGAGCACAAAGCGTCTTTAATAATTCTCTACTCTGGAGTTGGTAATTAGTCTCACATTATTCCCAAACGGCATCAAAGCACTTTTTTAAGTCATTCGGTAAATAAATAAAGAAACTAATGTGTAAAAAAAACCCGAGAAGTGTTGTGTTTCTGGGAGATAAATAAAGCTTTTAACTTTACTGGTTAATCATACATGTGTCAGGGTGTCAGTCAGAGATGCAGCTTAGTAAGAACTGGAGTCTGAAGGTCATAAATCACATGTTGAAATATGTGCTTTTGTAAATCACGTTACCTTTCCCTGTGCGATGATGTAGAAGGTGCTGCCCTCCTCGCCCTCCCGGATGACGTACTCTCCTTTGTCATAGTACTCCTGAGGGGGAGGTTGGGGGTGAGGATGGGGGAGGACAACAGTCAGAGCAGAAGCATTACATTGATTGAAGCATTGACCCGGCCGGGCCGGTTCCTGGTAGTCGTCCCCCCGCGGGGGCGGCAGCTGGAGTCCAGCCGTCAATGATGCTCCGTTACTCAGAGCTTCTCCGCCTGCTGATCAGGAGGGATTTTAGGGGCTCGTGGGACACATGAAACACCGAATGTAGGTCAATAGTAAACAGTAATTATCATGTTTTTAACGTCTGTCGCGAGGGCCTTTAGTCAGGAGGACTCTGACCACGATCAATATTTGTGTTTGACATCAGAGCCTACATGAGCATTGAATTGTTTTATGACTTTACCCCCATAAAATATAATTCATTGAAAACATGGTTTCCAAAATGATGGCTTCAATTTATTGCTTATTCGAGCTGAACAAAAAGCAAAACCAGTTCACAAACTGTATTGATATGACACTAATTTTTTGTATGTCATTTTAAAGCAGTTTCACTTTAAAATTTAGCAAAACCGAACCCCAAATCCTACCAGCTGGTTTTAAATTTATGTTATTTATTTTTAAACAATTAAAATTACACAAATAATCCATGTCAGAAACTGGATAAGCAGAGTCATAGTGATATGCTGTTTTGGCCAGAAAATCATCCGAGTTAAAATGTCATATTTCATCCAAGAAACATTATTTTAAATGTCGTGTTTCAAAATTTATTTTAAAAATAAACCATTTGCATTAAATTCTGTAAAAAAACACAAAATTCTGTGCACGCTGTGTCTGTGTCACGTTAGAAAAATTCAGGTACTTTTAGGCTGAATTGCAGCCATGTTTACACGGATCAGACAGAAAATACACTAAAAATGTAAGAAGTGAAATACATTTAATATGTAGAGCCATTATGTTTATGTTGGTTACAGCTGTGGCCACTTGTTGCACATGTTAATTCTAAGTTTTTTCAGTTTTCTTAAAATAGAAAAATCAAAGAAACTCCAATTTAGTTTTCCTTTTTTTTTTTTTTTTTAGAATTTCTGACATAATTCAGTTACAGTGCATTGAATGCATTCTTGAGTTCTTTCTCCTAGTCGTGGTTGTTATGTTTCCATAGAGGTGCAGGACTTGCAGTGAAAAATGAGCCCACAGTGAGTAAAAATGTGGCAGGAACAAAAAGCCATCCAGAGACTGCTTGGGGTTCAGAGGGTTAATGGTGTTGTGGATTATTTTCCAGCTGCTCAGCTAATTGATTCGTCAACTAATCAATCGGATGCTAGTCCAGTAACACAAATCAGAAATGTGTAATCTGCATGCAACCACCTCCCACGCTCTTGATACCGGTTAATTAAATGATATAACAGGATGACGTAAGCGACGTGCGTTTATTCTGAACTGCAGGGACGGACGCAGGGAAAAGTCCGGCTGACACAGAAACTGGAACCAAATTTAAAAGTGTCCTCTGATCATTTATGTTTTCATTGCTGTGATGTCGTAGATCCTCATGTGTGGCAACTTTAGCTTGTTGTTCACGGTTTGGTCTGTGGCTCTCCTGAACAAATCGGTCTGTTTTCCACAGTTAATCAGTTAATTACCTATTCTGGGTATCCGATAGACAACAAAGTTATTGACCAGATGTGGTCAACAGTGGAAACACAAAGGCACTTGTTTTTTGTTTGTTTTCCTCTCCAGCAGCCTTTTTGTATGCTTACTGCACAGAGTAATTGTTTGTGTTTAAATCATCCATTTTAAACTCAGTTTAAACCAGTAAGAGTGAACCAGTAACAGCATTACATATATAACAACCCGCCACAACATTAAAACCACTGAGGAGTAAAGTGGGTTAAAAGGATTGTTCAGTGACTGTGGAGTCATTCTAGGACGACGACCACTGCAGCCCTGATTAGTGGTACTACGGCTTCATCTATACCTCCTCCAAATAATGAGAGTAAGACCCTGCAGTGTTCATATGATTTGATTTTTCTTGATTACCTTACATATTAGGGATTAAAACCCTACAGAAATGGTATGAAATGGTGCTAAAAAAGCAACGTCAATCCATGAATTGCATTTGAGAACTCAACCAAAAACTGTCAGATCACTTAACAGCATCTATTATCTCCAAATTTTTGTTCATTTAGACAGAATTGGACTCTTTTAAAAACATAGTTTCAGAGAAGCTGTTCAGCCTGTTAGTACAGTTTGTTGCTCATCAAAGATCTCAAGCTGATTTATTGGTGATGTTATGATCTTTTGCAGACACTTTTACATCTGCAAAGATGGCAAATTGCTTTATTTAGGTCTTTAGCTTGCTGGTTTTATCAGATTTAAATCCAAAATAATCCCAAATAGGTAATTTTGCATTCAGAGTTTCTTGCTTGAGCCACATGTACGTCTACAGATATCTCAGCAATCGCCAGTTGTTTGATTGCCAAGTTGTCAGTTGGAAAACCCTTTGTTCATTCCACCTCAATTCACCATCTTCACTTTTCTTTTCAGTGGTAAATACTGACTGAGTTGACCATGTGTAAAATCTGGGGTTAAAGGTAACGTTAGCTGTTGAGGTAAATATTCCTATAGAGGGGTGGGGTCAAGTCCATTATTGCATCATTTTCTTTGCACCAACCTGTGGATCAAAGTGCCATAACTTGAGAAATAATGTAGCTACAACCTTGAAACTGGGCAGGCCCATTGATATCCACACATAATCTTCAATGGTACAAGCCTGCTTTCATAGAATAATACAAACCAGTTATATGATGGTGCAAATTTAGTCAAAAAATGTCAATATTTCTGTCCATTCCAGTGTTGCCACCAACCATGAAACCCTAGTTTTTCACCCTAAGAGGCTGTTTTTTTCTCCTGTGATTGGCACCAACAGGAGCTTTATCAGTTACAGGCATAAAAAGTTACTGAAATTACGATTGTTGCATTTATGGACAATATTTGAACATGCACTGAGCAGATATGATGGTGAAGCCACTCTGATAGCATCGCAACTGGAGGAGTTCTATAATATGGTTACTGAGCTAAAAGGAAAATCCTGGTTTTCTAAGATACACCATCATTTTATTAAAAAAACTGAGGTGGAATGAAGTCGTTTTCTTTATTCAGGGCTGGTAAGAAGGCCAGTCATCTGCCCACTTTGACACAGTCCAGCTGGTGCAGAAGTAACCCACTTGTTTCAGTGTTTAGTTCACTTTTTACGAGTGCCATAAAACTGAGCGACACTTTGAAACTGTCTCGAGTTAAACACTGAGGTCTGGTATGTTCTCTCTCCTCCGCAGACAGATTCCTCCACTTCATCCCGTCACTCACGGCTTCTTCCGAACCCGACCGCAGCCGCTCAAACCGGGCTGCTGAGTCAGCCGGGCTGCCGGATCGCCTTCCATCCTGAAGCTTTTAGTTGCACAAGTGCAGAGAACGAAGGTGACCAGGATGAAATGCCGCCTGGGCCCGACGCCAAATGCACCCGGCAGCCCCGAGGCAACCGACCGTCCGTGGCCGCGATCCGGAGGAACTTTGGCGGAAAAAAAAAAAAAAAGTGAAGAAACAAATCAGGGCAACCACGCGTAAACGTTCCCTGGTGTTTACTGTCAAAACTCTTGACACAAGTGGCGTTTTTTTCCTCGAGCGCCCGAGTTTGTTTACGTCCCGTTTACGCTTCAGGAGAGCCCAGTTTAACACCCGTCGGTGACAGCGGAGACAACATGCCAAGGTTTTGTTTATGGAGACTGTCTGGATGATGCAGGAGAGCGACAGCAGTTAACGCTGTTTCCTTGAGCTGCCAGTGTTTACCATTTTTAAAGCACATTTACACTAAAAAAGAGCCCCCCAACATTCATGCCCGTCTGTGTGATCCGAACCGCCGGCCTCCTCTTGGTTTGGTTTGTCAGAGTCACGCTGAGCCACTTCTGCTCCGTTTGTGATCGACTGTGTCCGTTTTGGCTGCACTCGTCCTATTTTTTTTCCGACCGTCAATCGAGCGGTCGCTGCACATATTCAAATCGCATGTCTCCTCTCTGTGCACTAGAAAGGCCCTGGACCTATTTTTAATACCGGTAGCCCCCCCAGGTGGACCGGCTTCCCCGCACGGCTCCCTGAAAGCATCGTGCTGCCTTCAAGGAGCTGCTGAAATATCACTTATGACACGAGCACGCATGAGTGATTTTAGAAAGGGCAAAATATGACAATGACAGAAGCAGGTTTTTACAGGGCAACAAGTAAATAAAAGTCTTGTAAACAACTGCTTTAAGAGCTGAATTATGTCAGAATTTGTACATACATATGTCAAACAAGTTGGTCATGTCTGGATTTCATTTTCAGGCCATGCAGTTGCACTCACATTCTTTGTACACACACATTTTGGGGGTTTTTAACACATGAAACAAGTGAGGAATAACGTGCTAATTGGTGCCGGAGGGCGAATTTTGTCACCATTTGACAAGATAGCTGTTGTCTTTGTGCTAAGCTAAGCTAAGGCCTGCTGGCTCTGTCTTATATTTAATCGGTCCATGTGAAAGCAGTGTTAATTTCCCCTTCTGACGCTTTGCCAAAAGTCAAATAAATGTATTTTACCTGTTGCTTTAAAATAACCTATTTTTATGATTTGTAGTCACCTCTTTGCAAACAATGACTGTTAAGAGATAAATAGCAGAGGCATGGTTTTGTTTTAACTCTGTAAATATAAAGTATAACAGCTGTGCGCACATGGTTTTGGACTTATAGATATACGTCATCTTCTCTCTAGAGTTAACATCTCAACCTCAAAATGCTGCAGTACGTTATCTTTAATTTTAAAAAAAGGCAACGTTGCACTATTTGTCCACCAGAAACTGTACCAGCACAAAGAATCGTCAGATGTTCAACTTTCCAGCGGTCCTTGAACTCTGAAACCACATTTAAGGTTAAAATGAGGACGTTTTCTAAAATTTCGTTATTCTACTCGTCTCGTTTAATCGAACCAGATTCTGTAAAAAACTACAAATTCTGCATTTTTCGACATGACTGAGAAGTTTGGTTTGGTGACTCAGCTGGAATCAACACTCGTCACAAAAATTCAGTGAGCAGATGGGAGACAAGCATGGAAGCAAATTAAAAATGTGAATAATTTAATATCAATCGTATGTAGAGCCACTGTTGTTGTTTTTTTTCCCAGTAATGGTAACAACTGGAAAAAACACACAAAAAATTTTGTTTATGTAGATTCAATTTTTTATTTTTTTTTAATTTGTAAAATAAGTAATCAAAGAAATTCAAAATAGATTTTTCTTTTTTCAGAATTTATATGGCTTTACAAAAGACATTTCTGGGTTCTTTCTACTTCTAGTCATGATTATACTTCATATTGCAGTGAAAAATGAGCTCACAGTGAGTAAAAATGTCACAGGAGCAAAGAAAAGCAAAGATCATCCATTTTTTTGTCACTGGAAAGTAAAAAAGACTAAAAAGAAGGATGATTTAGTTTCACAGCATAACAGTTGGATGCTCAGGGATTTTAACTCCAACAATCAAGACCCACGTCATATTTATCTATAATCTTATCTAGACCTAAATAAACTCCTGTATGAGTCGGCATGTCGATCGTACGAAGCTTCGTCAGCTTGCAGGACAGGAGGTAGCTCGTAGCAGCAGCAGGAGAGTTGACTGCCTCATGTCATTGTTCTAGTTGTCCATCTGTCACACAGTCACACTGCATCAGATGTCATCTCGCTGTCACAACCTGTGTGTGTTTCCTTGAGCTCCCAGAATGATTTTAGCATGTGGCTACAGCAATGTAGCGTAAAAATGAAGCGCAGACGGGTGATAAAGTGTCTCAGTTACTTTATTATCTTTAATCAAGAGCCATTATTTCTTCAATTTGCACCGTCTTTCTCAAACAAGCCCCTGCTCTGGGACAAATCTGCTGATCCAAACTGCTTTCTTTGCACTAAGAATTAATGTTGCTGCACAAAATGGGTCTTTAATTTAGCACTTTTGTTTATAGGGGGACTGTATGTATGTGCTTTCCTTTGCTGCAGTGAAAATAACTTAAATTGATCCCCATTTTTGAGAAAAAGAAAGAAAGACTAAATGTCACGTTCAAGCTAAGAAGAGAAAATAGGATTTTCATTTAAATCAGTGTCTGTCAAGTCACTGTCTATTGTCAAATGAGGGAAAAAAAAAAGACAGAGCCTCCAACCCTTTGAAGAAATGACATTAAACTTCTATGTTTACAGCCTTTTGATAAACTGGAGAAACAAGCTAACCGGACAATGTCGCCCTTTAACTCACTTGTTTGTCAAGCAGCGCACGACTTTTTGCTGGAGTTGGGAGTAAATGTTACGATGACAAAACCAACAAATGGAGCCAACTAACTAACAAAAATTGGATATCGAGAAAAAAGTGAGGTTCAAAAACCCAACTGTAGTGACTGCTTGTCGCCACAGGTGGCGCCAAAGACAATAAAACTCAGCAGTTTCTGGGCATTTTTCTTAACTGTGGGCTGCTTGTCTCTGCAATACAAAGTCCTGCACCTAGACTAGACTAGAAGTAGAGAGAACTCAGAAATGTCTTTAATCCAGAATAAGTAAGATATAACGCAATAACTCAGAAAAAGCGAAAGTTTGACTACTTGTTCCACAAAAACTGAAAAAACCTGGAATTAGCATGTACAACAGTTTTCCAAGCAGCCACAGATGTTACTAATACTGGAACAAAAAATGGTGACTCCACATATTATTGTTGTTTTACTATTTACATTTTCTATTTATTTCTAGGGCTGCACGGTGGCTCGGTGGTTAGCACTGTCACGTCGCAGCTACAAGGTCGCCGGTTTGCATCCCGGTGGGGAAATCTGGGATTTTTCTGTGTGAAGTTTGCATGGTCTCTTCATGCCGCGTGGGTTCTCTCCGACTTCTCCAGGTTCCTCCCACAGTCCAAAAATAACTATTTGGTGATTCTAAATTGTCTGTAGGTGTGAATGTGAGTGTGCTTGGTTGTCTGTCTCTAAGTGTAGCCCTGTGATAGACTGGTGACCTGTCCAGGGTGTCCCTTGCCTTCGCCCTAAGGTAGGCTCCAGTGACCCCCGCGACCCTAGTGAGGATTAAACGGTGTATAGATAATGGATGGATATTTGTTTCTATGCTTGTCTGCAATCTACTGCGTGTAAACACTGCCTGCAGTTCAGCTGTAAAGTCCCTGAATTTTTGTCATGTCACTGTTGGGCACAGCTCAGTGATACATGGCTTCATGGTTGCAGGGAGGAATGTCAAATTCTTTTGTTTTTTTTTACAGAATCTGTTTTGAGCAAACTGTTTATGATTGGCTTGTTTTTACATTTTTATGAAATATCACAATTTTCTACAATTCTACAGTTTCGCTTTTATCCAAAGCGACGTACATCTGAGAGTAGATCCAACACAAGCAAGGATCTAGTCAGGAGACACCAACCTGGATAAGTGCCACAGAACAAGTTCAAGTGTGAGAGGGCGTTGATGCCAATAGCAGGCTGTAGGGAGGATTTTTATTTTATCTTTTTTTTAAGCTTTTTTTTTCTCAACCAAACTGTCTGGTGAAAAGTTCCAAATCCGACAGTTCTTTCTGTTTTTACAGTTTCTGGCTCTGATAAATGGTGTAATTTTGGCTGGCAGATTATGGAGTTTAGACGGTTAAATAAGCTCAAAATCAATTTTATTGATTTAATCTTACCTAAACTGACCTCCCGCGCTCAGAGCAGCAGCTCCAGCCTGCAGCTCCGAGGGCAGAATCACCCGTTTGTGTGATGACATTACTAAATATTGCGTGCCAGGATCACGAGTGCAATTAATTTCACCCCTCGTTTTGTGTTTTCACTGTCAAAGAAGCATGTTTTTTTGCCATTTAATCTTTCCAATTCAAATTCCAATCTGCCAATTAGACCGAAAAAGCCGTCAGAGAATCCTGAAAACAAGGTTGTCTGGCCGCCTTCACCCGTACAAATTCCTTCCCCCTCCACTGTTTGACAAGACGCTTCAATATCATCTGGCGGATTCTCAGTGAACATCTGCACCGGTATTATGTTACAGCCGCCTCCACCCCCCCGAGAGGCAACAGAATCAGCTCCATTAGAAAAGACTGAATAAGTGGATTCGGCAGCAGGATGACCGGCGACTGCGAGCGACGTCCTTGAAGTTTTCATTGTGAAAAGACGCTGAGAAAGGCTGTTTTCTCTGCTTTCTCTTTCGCAGCTGAAATACAAGGAGGGGGAAAGTGGAGCGAGCGTCGGCCTCCTGCGTACACAATCGCACACAATTCCTTTTTTTTTTTTTTGCACACTCGCACCAAACGGCTGTCACTCGCACATCTTTAAGAAATCACTCGTCCCCCGTTTGAATAAACACTTTCTGGGGCCTTAGTCAAATAATTACGGTAACAATATACAGCACCCGGCGATGACAGGAATAATATCGGCTCTGTTCATCAACAAGGTAATTTGTGAGGTCTCGCCGACTGGAGGCAGAGCGAATGTGCTGACACGCAGTAATGGTATATGGCCAAATGGTAATGATATTTTGACAGCAGCTATCTGCGGAGCTGCCAGGAGGTTGTGCAACGCCGAAGCAACACGACGAGAGAGAGAAAGAAAAAAGTCAAAGTGTCCCTCCAGTAGAAACAGAGATAGTTTGACAGAATAACTTACCACCTCCAGGCAGTCCACTATTTTGCTTAGCTTGTCCTCCGGCAGATTAGCCAAGAGTGAAACACTGACGGGAGAAAAAAAAAAAAAAAACACATCACATCGTGCTCTGCAACACAAATCACTGCATGCATCACAGCAGGAGACGTGGAACTGACAACATCGTTCATTAAGTTTAAGTCAATTGATCTTGGATTAAACCTTTTCTATGATAGTACACATGTTACCAACACTTCAAATACTTGCTTACTGCATAATTAATTAAAGTACACTATAGTTGGACATGAAACTTTTAATATTATACTATTTTTGTGTTTCTACTATCATCAGCTGTACTTATTTTAAAATACAACAACAACAACAATGTAGAATTAAAATCCCAACACTGTTAATATTTTAAAATGCATACAGCACTAAACACCTAAAATAACGGAGGATTAATGATAAAGCATATTGTGTTTTTTATTCAAATGCAGTAATGTAAAACAAATCGTAGTCTATTAGAAACCAAGTCAAAGTAGTTTAATTTGAATTTATTTTAAGTCTGTTTTCACAGTGGTTTGCTCATTAATGGTCATTCTTCTTTTTGGCTCTATAAAAAGCATCAGATTTTACAAGTTTTTTTTCTTCTCATATTTAGGGAAATAAAACTACACACCACTGCTAGAATTTGGCTGTATGTTTACAGTAGTTTATTGCAATGAGAGCCCTGTTACCCAACAGCAGAAGCCTCTTTGTTTCATTGTTTTATTGTTGTTGCTTTCTCCTCTGTCTGTGTTAACGTTTTCAACAACAACTACAACCTCCAAGCAACAACATACAAGCTAAACATGCCAAAGATTTTGATTGTGCAGTATGGCAGGCTTGCTTCTTTTGGTAAACTAAATGTTAAACCAGAAAACATTTCCCCCACACTAGTATTTTGGGGCACCATTGCTGCATCCTGGGCTTAGCATCGCCCACATTGGATGCGACTGGTTTAAAGAAATACAGTCAAGCCAGAGCGTTTTTTTTTTTTTGCCTCCTATAGCATTGCAGTGGAAACAGGTTTGGCTATGGAGCTGAAGAAGTAGCTGCTAGAGAAAGTGGAACATCTAATGACAGATATACTGTCCTCAGGAGGTGGTGAAGACCATCTAAAGTCAACCATACTGGAACTAAAAGAAGAGTAAATACTGGGCTCACATTCATCAGATGGACTTAAACTAAACTTAAATGAGATCCCATGTAGCCCTGTGTGTGTTTAAATATGTGACCGGTTGATGGTGTGTTAAGACTCTTCAGCTATAAATTTGCTGTTCTGACCCCGAGTGGTCCAATATGGCTCAAAGCCAAGGACATGAACATTTTCTTTGCTCTCAAAATTCTTCCACAAAACATAACACACATGCATTTAACCCTCCTATTACCTTCAGATTTACTAACATCTTTTATCCTCGGGTTTAATTTGACCCCAGCAATTTAAACCTCCAGAAAATATCATAATTAAAATTGTTACCCAAGTTTATGTGTAACTAACCTTTTAAATAAAACTGAAAAAAATACGTCAATGACTTATTTAGAGACGGTGAACATTGAGTGTGGTTAAAGAAGTTGTTGCTGTCGCCAATAAGTGCTTACAAATAAAATGTTTTGGACTTCTACGTTGGAATTGTACTTTTACAACATTAGTAGCTTCTTTAGAAATCTGTTGGACTGCCAAAGTTCTCCAGCGTGGTGCCATTTCTTATACTAATTATGCGATAATTTGATGTAGATGTCTGATTCTTTAAAAAAACATACTGACCCCCCCTAACTGCCTTGTGGTAAAATCCTACAATATACATCTACATCGAAGGTACCAAAACAGCAAAATAACTTTCCTACATCTGGATATTTGATGCCAATTGGTTGGCGCTAACCTTCTGAGGAAGTTGCGGTACTGTTCGTGCCGCGTCTCGGCCGTCCTCCTCATGATGTTCTGGAACACCTCCCGGTCCAGAGCCCATGTCCTCACTTTGTTCACCGCTGTAAAACCAACATCATATGCATCAGTGATGAATATCAAAGCTGCAGGTTCTGACCTTTCAACCCGTGACCCAGCTGGTTTTAATAGCAGAGTGTCTTGGGAAACTGTGAAGCTGGAACAGTGAGGAAATCCTGTTGTCTTTCTTCCCATTTTTCCAGTTTAATTAGTTGTCACAAAGAAGTGTATATTGTTTTGTTTTGTCAAATGGACAAAGGAGTGAGAACACCACAGTAATCTGTCCTCTATCTTGATGGTGAGTCGCGTAGAATCTGCAGAAACTCGGAGACGGGCTTCCGTTGGGTCGAGGAGGAAGCAGCTGTGGGAGTTTGACCGTAGCAAAGAAAGAGCTTCCTCTTTATCTGCTTCATCTGTTATCACGAGGAACCCACTTGGAGACTTGTCAAACTGTCACCGTTTCAATATGGAGGTCCGCTCGCCTCCCCCCCGAAGGGCCAGCAGTCAATTTACTTGGTTAAATATACAAACCCGGACAAAGAGCACTCACATAGTACCTGGTATGTGCTCTCCAAACGCCAAGCAGCTAAAAGCCAATCGGGATGCAAAGAGGAGGACATCGTGTGAAGCCTTTGTCAACACAACCGCGCAAGAGCTTGTTTGCTTCGGTTCACATGTAGATTCTCACTATCGCTGCTTCTAGAAGTCACTGAAACTCACGTGAAGGTCACAGAAGTGTCGCGTGAGATTCAGGAGTGTGTTGTTGGAGATGTTAAAAGGTGCCACTTCTGAGTCAAAGTTCTTTTGTTGAACTCTTTGGCGTTTAGAGGCGTGTTTTCTTCACCAAATCAGCACAATTCAACCATTTATCAGAGCATGAAACTTAAATAGAAAGAAAAAACTTTCTCCCACACGTCTCATTCCAATATTTGTCCATTCATCCATATACACCGCTTAATCCACACTAGGGTCACAGGGGGGCTGGAGACACCCTGGACAGGTCACCAGTCTATCACAGGGCTACACTTAGAGACAAACAACCAAGCACACTTACATTCACACCTACAGACAATTTAGAATCACCAATTAACCTCAGCATGTTTTTGGACTGTGTGGGAGGAAGTCGGAGAACCCGGAGAGAACCCACGCTGCACGGGGACAACATACAAACTCCACAAAGAAAGACGCAAAGGGACCCGAACCGGCGACCTTCTAGCTGCGAGGCAACGGTGCTAACCACAGAGCCACCTTGCAGCCCCCAGTATTTGTCGAAAAACTAAAAAAATGATACGCTCTTTTGTGCAT